CAGAGCCCACTAAGGAGAGTCTACGGCGGGCTCTGCAGGGTCACTCTCAGGTGGGCTGTTTGGTATATCAGGTGGGCTCTGCAAGGGGCATAACTAGCAATCACGGGGGCCCCATACAAAATTTTGCAATGGGGGCCCTGTGATTTCTAGTTACGCCCCTGGGTATAACCCCTTCTTGACTGGGGCCCTCGAGTCCCTTTATGACCAGAGAGAGTTCCTTGGGAAGTATTTATCAGAGGCCATAGGGGTATACAGCAGACTATTCTAGGTTAACATTCCGGGGGGAGCTGCATCCCTCCAGCCGCTTTGGTTCGCTGGTTCCCGGGGTTTGTCTGGCTCCTGAATGTACAATCAATCCCTAACCCAGTAACAGTTACAGATATAATTTAGCTTATTAGACATATAACAAGGACAATTTACATATTTAAAAAAAAACACATTTATGTACAACATACATGTATACATCTATGTACAACATACAACATACATTTTTACCAGCTGCAAAATCAAGCACAGTTCTGAGACACGCCTCTGAAATGCCCAGAATTTGAACCTGAATTATATCGCCAACAGAAGACAATCAGGAAACGTGGAACAGAAGATTCCGGTATCAGAATCCCGGCAACCGGTAATCTTTGGTTGCAGTAGAGCCCAACACAGAGAGGTGAGAGCGCTCCCAAGGGGGTAACATTTACATTGGAGAGGGATAGGGTTGGGTTTACAATGATGGTTCATGTGTCAGGCTTGAGATATAGGTTAGGCTATAGGTAGGGTTAGGTTGTAGGGGGGATTAAGTTATAGAGAGAGTTATGTTATAGGGAGGGTTATGTTGAAGGGAGGGTTGGGTAATAGGGAGGGTTATGTTGAAGGGAGGGTTGGATTATAGGGTGGGTTAGGTTGCAGGGAGGGTTGGGTTGCAGGGAGGGTTGGGTAATAGGGAGGGTTATGTTGAAGGGAGGGTTGGGTAATAGGGAGGGTTATGTTGAAGGGAGGGTTGGATTATAGGGTGGGTTAGGTTGTAGGGAGGGTTGGATTATAGGGAGGGTTAGGTTGAAGGGAGGGTTGGGTTGCAGGGAGGGTTAGGTTGCAGGGAGGGTTAGGTTGCAGGGAGGGTTGGATTATAGGGCTGGTTAGGTTGCAGGGAGGGTTGGGTTGCACTGAGGCAATTTGACTCTTAGAGTACGACCTTCAATGTGCTAAAATATGACTGCCAAGGGCTAAATCGCTCATTCACAAATCGCCAGTGTAGCCTGGTCCTTACCCTGATCACCCATATTTATCAGTACTGTAGGGCCCGGAGTAACCTGAGTTGTAAGAGGAGCTATAGGAATTACAGTTACAAAGTCTTGTATATATATATATGTATCTCTTCTAAGAAAACATTTTACATTCCATAGTCACAGTGCTCCTAAATTATAACAGCATTAATGGCAGCAAATCATATCATATAACATATCTACAGCCACACTTCCCACTGCCTCAATTAATAATCTGTAGATACCACCCCCACAAAATCCTGTTCATACCTTTATATATTTTCTTATGTGTATTCTATTTCTATTTCTGTCCTATGCTGCTTCTTTATCGACATTAAACCTCATCTGCCACATTAATGCCCCTCCCCCTATTTTATCCAGGTCCTCCTGCAATGTTATAATGCCCCTCCCCCTATTTTATCCAGGTCCTCCTGCAATGTTATAATGTCACTATTCCCATCTCCATCATCTTATATACAGTTTATCCATCTCTCCTATGTATCCTCAGCACCATCTTATACGTATACAGTATATCTATCTATCCTCCGTATCTCAGGCTCCTTCTTGTATACAGAGTATCCACCTCTCCGGCTCCATCCTATGCAGAGTATTCATATCTTTTCCCATCTCTCACAGTCACTATGTGCTGTAGCTCGGTACCGGTGCTGTCCTGCAATGTTTAGTGTTTTCCTTTAGTATCTCTACAAAAATAATGGCAATACCTTCCAAACTATAATAATAATGTGACGCCAAAACCATCAACGGGACACAGATATAGAGGAGAGTCCAGTAAAATGGGGAATGGTGACACCATACCAGATCCAGATCTGTACATTGAAGTCCATTGGTCGAGCATAAGAAGGTCCACAAGGCAGAATTCCAATGGACACTGGACCCCCTGATATCTACAAGCTCCACACCGGGATTGTTCATACGTGTCGCCGGGTTTGGGTGAATTCCGGTCCTTTTAGGACATAATCATTTTATCATCAAGTATTCTGTAGGATCTGTATTTGGGTTTCAGTGTTTGGGCCGGTCTATACATTCAGAATGTCTGCGCCGACAGCACCGCAGAGGCTAACAGCGCACTAAGATTGGGGGATGTCCGTCCTAGACCACGCTGTTTTCTTGCAGAGGAACGTTTGCGTCTGCATGCTTACTTGCTTTTAGTCTCACAAGATCATAAAACCCTTTTTTCCCATTTCGACATAAAAAGTAGTAGACAATGGCGCCGACCAGGACGGATAACGCGATGAAGCCTACGACGAGAAGAACGGCCAGAAGTACGGTGTGATCTGTAAAGAAACAAATCAGCGTTATAACTCTCACATAAATGTATCAACTTCCCGGAACTCCGATTGTTAGCGTTCAATTATAGAAATGTTTCTAAAGAAAGTTTGCTACATTGTATTACCAGGATTGTCTTAAAGGGAAAGTACACAGCAAACATTTCTACATGTTATTGCACTGTTCAAATAAATGCAGTGAGCGAGCGTTGTCACCCCAGGACAGGAAGTGTGCTACTGGCAGGATCACCAGGGAGAATAAGGGGGAAAAAAAACCTGAAACAAAAAAGAATCTGCCCCACGTGTAAGGATTGGGAAGCTGCAATATATTACGTTTTTGTTCTTGGGGTCAGATACACTATTTTGATTCTTTTTCAGATATTCTGTTTTCTATACATACACATTCTTACATGTCTGCTCTCTGAAATGTTTATCATTGTGTTATATGTAGAGATTTGGAGAGTAACATTGGAGGGAGTATAGATTGCTCACTTCAAGGACATTGCCTAACCGCTTAAAGTGTATTTCCACTTGTGCAGTCAAAATTTGAGAATACCCCTCTATACGTGTTCCCATTCACACTCCCTGATCACCAGCTGCTGAGATCAAATCTGAGTTACAGGAAAACTATGAGGGGAGTGATTGTCACTCCTCCTCATAGTTCGAGCCGACGTGTGGCAATGAGACTGTCACAGGTCGGCTCAATAGATCAGGAATTGAGAGAACACATACCGGCGCTCGCTCACTTCTCGATCCTGTCCCTGCAGAGATCGGTGACTGTCAATCACGGCTCCCTGCAGGGATTCCTCCCCTCCCCGCTCCGTTCCTCCAGCGCTGACCGGCGGAACAGACGGGGGAGGGGGCGGGTACAGCTGGCTCTGTCTCTAGATAGGCAGAGCCAGCTGTCAATCACGCAGCAGGGTGGATCCAGACAGTAATGTCCCGGCTGCGGCGGTCTCAGTATACCGCGAGCTGTAGCTCCCTATATACTGAGCTTTGGATGATGGGAGGACGCTAGTTTGTGTCCTCCCGTTACCCTAAGGAGAACTATGGGGAAAAACACTGACCTCATAGTTCTCCTTTAACACAGAGAGTGAGCTGTTAAGTGATGACATAAGAGATCAGGAAGGTGTAAACAGTGGGGAAGCTGGACATTCTGTCACCAGGGGTAAAGGTTCAAAGTTGTGCTGAGATCAAATCTGAGTTACAGGAAAACTATGAGGGGAGTGATTGTCACTCCTCCTCATAGTTCGAGCCGACGTGTGGCAATGAGACTGTCACAGGTCGGCTCAATAGATCAGGAATTGAGAGAACACATACCGGCGCTCGCTCACTTCTCGATCCTGTCCCTGCAGAGATCGGTGACTGTCAATCACGGCTCCCTGCAGGGATTCCTCCCCTCCCCGCTCCGTTCCTCCAGCGCTGACCGGCGGAACAGACGGGGGAGGGGGCGGGTACAGCTGGCTCTGTCTCTAGATAGGCAGAGCCAGCTGTCAATCACGCAGCAGGGTGGATCCAGACAGTAATGTCCCGGCTGCGGCGGTCTCAGTATACCGCGAGCTGTAGCTCCCTATATACTGAGCTTTGGATGATGGGAGGACGCTAGTTTGTGTCCTCCCGTTACCCTAAGGAGAACTATGGGGAAAAACACTGACCTCATAGTTCTCCTTTAACACAGAGAGTGAGCTGTTAAGTGATGACATAAGAGATCAGGAAGGTGTAAACAGTGGGGAAGCTGGACATTCTGTCACCAGGGGTAAAGGTTCAAAGTTGCCCCCCCCCCAAGTTCTACATCCACACACCCAGTGGCACCCGGGAACATGCCTCCCACAGCTTCGGCCCTGGGTGTAAACATTGTGCGTCATTACTAAGCAGGAAGCAGATTCTGCACATGGAATGAGTAGTCATGGCTTCCCTCATGTGTAGATACAGATACCCCGTAGTTTGATACAGATAGATCTGATAGATACAGCGGGGCTCATAAAGAACAACGCCAATTGTATGTCTGCAGTGCAGTATTAGATTTCACCAGCAGGTGGAGCTGCATGTAGATCACAGAACCGCTGGGTGTGGTGTATTGATAATCATGGGTATTGGGTGGTAATGGTATTGAGCTGAGTATATAGAGGATTTCCTTTGTTAATGGTCTCCCGGCGTCACTTGCCTCTTTTAACTTCTAAACTCTGTTGTTCGGATAATTTCCCATGTTGGTTCTCGACTTGACAGGTGTAGACTCCGCTGTGGTAGGATGATGCTTCTGTGATGGTGATGGAACTTTTGTCTATGGAGAAGGCCACTTGGGCATGAGGCGGGATTTCCCACTTGTACATGGGAGGGGGAAGAGCGTCTGAATAACAAGTAAGATTGACAGATCCTCCTGTGCTAATCAATGATGAGGAGATGTTCACTGTCGGGTGCCCTGGTGGGTCTGAAAAACAAAAGATATTTAAAATAAAATTAACAATGGCAGAGACTTCCAGGAAAACGATTATGATTAAAGTGGAGCCAGACGTACACAGTGAAGATTTGCTAAGTTACAGGGAACATTTAGCGATTGTAATTGTACCTAAGCAGTACCATTGAACATTGAATGATTCCTCCTAAAAAACAGCAGTGTTCTTCCTATGTGAATGTGCCTCATAGCTGTATATCTACAGTGTGAGACCTCAGGCACTGCTGCCAGTAATGGGGAGAAAATCAGCAGCAGGGAGTTCATAGACAATATTGGTGACTAGTCCTTTGCCCTCTGCCTGTCTTTATTTGGGAAGAACTCCCAGAGATCAGATTCTCTTTAACCAATTGTGGACCTTGGGCATGCTAAACACACCCAAAACTTTTATCGAAGTAGATAGAACTTGTGCAGTATATCATGACCTTCTGCCCCAATGCTGCTTTCCCACCTTGCATTTGCTGGCGATTCCTAGGAGTTGCTATATAAATAGAGCTGCTGCTACAAAACTGACCATCTGACACTTTCTTTATGAACATTGATCAGAGGGAGATAGAGAGATACAAAGTAACATTGTTTATGAACATTGATCAGAGGGAGATAGAGAGATACAAAGTAACATTGTTTATAAACATTGATCAGAGGGAGATAGAGAGATACAAAGTAACATTGTTTATAAACATTGATCAGAGGGAGATAGAGAGATACAAAGTAACATTGTTTATAAACATTGATCAGAGGG